TAAAAAACAAACTCTACTGTTACTTTGCTATTAGTTTTTGTTTTGATTGTGACGAAAAGTAGGTTGACTATTTGTGGATATACTCCATCTGAGCTTTGTTCTCATTTCACAATTCTCGACAGGGTGCTTTTTTAATGAAATACTGTGGAACATGGATATTGTGATCATGAGATTCTGTGCAAAAATCTCATTAACACTTGATTTCAATAAGAAAAGGTTGACCGGTAATTGTCAGGGGTCGGGTCGCTGAATGTCTCAGTACTCCTTGTCAGTTTTGTGCCATTTTGTCGCAATCGCTGGCTATATGATCCGGTTGCGTTGGTGGACAATTAGTCATAACTCGTAACTTTTTTGTCCTACTCCTTTTTGTCATGTAATATTCTCTGTTTGTCTGCAGACCGTTGGCTCTGTGCTCGGTGATGTGCCTGGTCTCTACCCTGGTCAATATCCAGGCCTGGATAGCATGGTGACACATGCTGCAGCTATCAACATGTCATTCTGGAATCAAGCTGAATCCAGTACACAGACCTTGGTGGACCAAGCAGTGGCAGCTGCAGCAACAGCCCAACATACGAGCGACCAAATAAACAGGTATGACCTCGAACAGTATTTTATCCTTCGAGTACTTTCTTAGGGGGTGACGGGAAATCTGAAGTGTCTATAGAGATTAACCATATATTGCAACATGTGTTCCTTTCTACTAGCATACGGATGGCCTCTTCAGGCAGACATTTGATCTGCACTAATGAAACAGGTATTGTTTTCTCGTCTGGTATACCCACGTGGGAATATTTTTGTTATGTATGATGTTCCCCTTCTTGAAGTACTGTGAGGACCAAAGCTGATCTACACAAAAAGGCATGACAGTAATAAGCCCATTGCGCATTGCCAAATATGGAAGGTATGCGTAATGCATGTGAGTACACTGGGATCAGCAATGCACTGTTCAAAACCCCAGATGACCATGCACAGGTGGCTGTGTGGGGAGTTTATGGTACAAAATTACGTCATTGCGCAATGGGCTTATATTCGCTATACACATGCATGTACGGTGAACTTCACTTATAACGACACTCGGCGGGGCGTCAAAAAAGTGTCCTTATTCGCGAAGTGTCGTTATACCAGAAGTCTCATTATATGCATTGCAGTTGGAAAGGCCTTTGCTCTGGGCATGGAAATGCTGTTGTTGTTCGCGAATTGTCGTTATATCCGCAGTCGTTATTTGCGAAGTTGACTGTACATCTGTTCCTCCCTTGTCGACAGTATCTACAATAGCACCAAGCCACACGGTGAAGCTGCACTGGAGGCTATACGGGATTATGATCAAGTCGTCAGTGATACCGACCAGGCAATGCTGAGAACACGGCAAGCACAGCTAGCTACCAACCAAGCTCAGGAACTGGTAAGTCGCTACAAGAATGATATGAAATGAACAGTTTGCTCTGGTGAAATACGGAATGGCTAGAACTTCACCTTACAAGTACAAGTCTCTGTAGCTGCATGGTTGCGATGCGAACCTACAGTGTAGTACAGATCACATGCGCACTGTAATTGTCACTGCAATCAATTCGAACATTAGGCTCACACAGAAGTGTAGGGAACAGCACCTATCTAACATTATTCCTTCGCATGTCAAGCGTACGTAGCAAGATCAGGAATCAATGGTATTCATGATTTCACTGTGGAATGCACTGCATCCTTCGGTGGGGTTGCTAGTGCTCTTCTGTCGGCTCGGGGATCTTCATACGAGCTCCGTAGCTTCAAGTCTTGATATCTGTCAATATCAGCCATCTATGATTTGTGAATCGATGTATAGAATTATATTCGCTGTGTGAACATTGGGTGTTTTCTGTTTCCAGACTCAGAACATATCATCACGAGACCTGGTGGACATGAGCAGTACATCGCTCACGCAGAGTCAGCAGCTAACCATCCACGCCAAGGACCTGAACACCACTGTCACTGGTATGTAAACTGATCTTCCATTGCGTTCAAACAAGGGCATTTTTATGCCTGGATAACTGTCCATGTGCCTCTCTCTCTCTCTCCTATCTGACATGAATACCCAGGCCCTATATCGACACCGTCTTCAGAACTACTGTTTCTCTCTCAACTTTACTAGAATGGTTGTATCACCTGTTGTTCTATCGCCGTTTGGCATGCTTATGCTATCACAACATTAGCAGCCAACTGGAGCTCGAACCAAAACCCTGAGATTACCTGTTGTGTGCTATACCAACTGTGTATCTTTTTCTTCTCCTTCAGGTTTGGGAGAGATCCTTACGTCTGCTGAGTCAAACTTAGAGACATTGTTTGATCAGGAAGGCATGCTGCGCAATGCCACCGATACGTGTGCCGCACGGATATGGAGTTTGAGCAGTGAGTTTGTGCTCTGTGGGTTGCTTGCATAATGGCATAATGACCTGCAATTGCATGGTGTCGAATGGTGGCTGCAGTCCTCGGAAGATGTGGAAGATAAATTCAGTATTACTGACTTAGCTGGGATAGAGACTTATAGAAGACAATAGTTTGGTTCTTTCAAATGTTTATACATGTAGATAGTATCCTACATATCTGCTCAGCCCAGAGTGTGTTGGTGTGTGGATAAATTCAACCACATGATTCATTCCAGATATTTTGTATGCAAGTTGCGAAAAGATTCACCGCACACTGATCTCCAATCCTTCGCTGCAGAAATGCGACTGCCTAATGTAACGTGACCCAATAATTTCCAGGTTTCACTGTCGATGCGAAAATTGGAGGTGTGTAGATGGCAGGCATGTACAATTTTCCTTTGTGTTTTGTTCTTTTCTCTGTCACTTCGCAGCCTGGGAGCGTGCCGATAGCGCTCCCCTACAATCAGCTCTACAGTGCAGCAGAGATGGTGCTGCTGATATCCAGCAACGCTCCCGTACAGTCTTGACGTCAGCAGCCATTGCAAGCGCGGTCGTATCTGAACTCAGCGACGTCACCAGCAATGTCACGGCCACTGTTGACGAACTTGAGAGAACGGGTAAGTGAACAATACTTGAATCTAGTCCGATTTGTGTGATAAGCGTGATCTGTGTTTGTGTTGTTCATCATCTCATCTCGCGCTAACATAATTATAACGTTTAGTTAGCGCAGTCATTTAGAGCACTTGCTATGTTCTGCGTTCTTACCATCCCACCATGACAAGGAAATATCCTTGCAGTCTTGACACATTCAGCACTAGATAACAAAACTGTACACTAGGCACTTTCTTGAGAAGATGTTTTGATGAGTTGCAGCACGGAAACCTATTGCTTTTTGTTAGTGCCAAGTTTTGCTCTTGTCTTGCGTTCTGCAATCGAATAACGCATTCCACTATTGTAGTCTTGGATTTTCAGGGTGGAATATTGCCAATACTGCATTGTCTCGACAATCAAGCTATTTATACAAGCTAAAATGCCATTAGAATCCTGATATCAGTATTGTTTTAATCTCTCCCTGTGGTTTTACAGTTCCACAACTGAGCATCAACGTCCAGGATCGGCTAGACAACCTCACCGCTGTACAAGCTCTTGATAAGAATGTGGCTGACAAGCAGGCTGCCCTCACCACCTCACTGGCAGCGCTACGTGAACAGCTGATGCGTGCGAGAAGCATAGCCCAGCAAGTGCAGACGTCATTGGAGTTTCAGCCGAACACCAGTGTGTCGCTGGTACCGCCTGCCTCCGTCGATCCACAGTACAACTCAATCTCCCTGTACTTTCGCACGACCAGCTCAAATGGTCTTCTCCTGTACAGCACCACTGAGTCCAGTAAGTATGATGATAGTATACGGTTGTTGGAAATGAAATCCATTCCCAGTTTCCCTTGCCATTCACTGCAAACGCTGATCCGCCAGGTTTTGTCCATATACAGCTCCTTGTCGTCGAATCCGGATCAGGTTTCGTAAAATTAAATCCAAGCCAAAGTGTTCCGTTGTATCTGTCAGCCAGTTCTCCATGCAGGTGTGCAT